GCTAATAGGTGGTTTAATGTTTAATTAGTCCAACGTCTAACTAGTTGTTAGCTAGCTAGCGGGCTAATCCTATCTAATTTTAGCTAATTTTTTACTCCTACTCCCCCATTCTAAGCTAGTACTCCCTCTATCTAAAAAAGAGTCATTCTCGCTTCCTAAAAAGTCAACAACTTTTAACTTTGACCAAACATATTTAACAAAATATTAATATTTATGGTACATAATTAGTACTATTAGGTATATCGTTGAATATACTTTTATAACAAACTTATTTAGAGATATAAATATTGCACGCATTTTTCTACAAATCTAGTCAAAGTTGAGAAAATTTGAAGAGCACAATTCCCATAGCGACTCTATTTTAGGGATAGAGGAAGTATATAGAAGGGGAAAAAAGCATAAATTGAACGCATGCATAGTACTATTCAAGAAGTCAACCATTATTTACTTTGACCAAATATAGAAGAAAATGTCATTTGGCTCGTTCACTGGAGCTTAAGCTGCTGGTGCCAACGGCAGCTGCTTGGCACAGTACTTTAATGAGAGTATAGCAGCTGCTGCTATGGCTGTGCCAAACATACCCATTGTTTAAAAGGGCAGACCCAGTGCCGGAGGCTCCCACATGAGTGGGGTCTGGGGAATAAGAAAAAACGAGGCAAGCTGTCGGGGACCAATACTAGGATACCCGAAGAGGAGGGATTAATTGTCGTTAAACGTTAATTCATCCAGGCAGTCAAGGGCGCGACTACAGCTCCAACCGACCCCAGATACGCAGGCTCCGCCTCGCCCAACCTCTGGCCGTGGACTCCGCCTCGCCCGACCCAAGGTTGTGCAATCCGCCTCGCGCCGACCTCTGGGGGCGAGCTCCGCCTCGTCCGACACCGAGGTCGCGGGCTCCGCCTCGCCCGACGTCTGAGGGCGGGCCCCGTCTCGCTCGACGTCTGAGGGTGGGCCCCGTCTCACCCGGCCTGTGAGGGTGGGCTCCGCCTCGTCCGACATCTAAGGGCTGGCTCCGACTCGCTCGACGCTTGGGTTTGCGCTCCGCCTCGCCCGGCCTCCGGTGGGGACTCCGCCTCGCCCGACATCGAGGCCAGGGGATCCGTCTCGTCCGACGGAGACACATACCGCCGTCAACTACTCCAGGCCCCAGCGAATGGGCCTGGGTCAAAGCTCTGACACCAGGTGATGAGGACACGCCTACGATGTCCAATATTTGCCCAATCTTTCACGGTGCCAAAATATCAAGAAGCCAAATAATCTGAATTTCTGCAAGACCAAGTAGTATCCAGCGGCGACAAGTAATCGAGTGCTAATCACAAATCAATATTTGTCCGATCGCAGCAAACAGCACCAACAGAATAAACTGGCTATACCACCGGCACTAATTAATCTCAAATTTTCCTCAAGTGGTTCACGTACAGCAGGTTCAAAAGGAACAGACTAGTAGCAACAATAGCAGAGATATAATAATATTATAAAGATTTGCTCTCGGCCAATATCAGCTCACTCTGCAGCAGATGTATATCTCACGATAGGATCAATCAATCAGGAAGTTCTCACGCCAAAGTATATTGACCCGGATTGATGCAATAGTTCTGTTTAATCAACCAAACTCAAACAGTACCAGCAATAATAGAATGATGGTTGGATTCGGCTTACATAAGATGTAATCCAAACCCTAGCAATGTTCTTCCACCCGTGGCTCCGAGAGACACGATCAGAAGACGGGGATTCCGCTGGAATCCAGGATACGCCCAAGACGAAGCTTGCTCGTACACAATTCTCAATCCAGATGGATCGGTAAGGTAGATGAGACGAGACGTCCTCTCGCTGTTCGTAGGAGAAACCCTAGACGAAACACTCACCAAAAATAAAATCCAATCTATCTTATACACGGCTGATTAGCAGCCCTTTATACGCACGCAGGCGCACGACTCTGACACGTGAACCAGGACACCAAAATAAAGAAACGCCACATGCACCTAACCGGAAGCCTGGTTCCAAAGCCATATATTGAAAGAAATACTAAACAATGCGGCTACTTAGCTAGTTACCATAAACTCTATTTTAATTAAGCAAATAAATGCACCACGTGCTTAGGTTGGACAGCCCAAGTCCATGGCGTGCTCAGGTTGGACTTCCCTTCGTATCTCCACGTCTGGATATTTGATATTACCCATGCCTCTCCAATTATTTCTCCACAGCCATAACAATTCAAGTGATATCAACCTGTATGGAGCCGATAAATATATTGTTTCTTAGCTTCATATTTTGCGCTTTCTTGAATGTCACACCGCCAAAGATGATATTTGAAGATAGGCCACCAGTAGTAAATTTCTCCATATTCGTGATCTGTTTCTCATTAAAATTGACAGCTCCAAATTTAAGACCAGAGGATTTCAAAGAATTATTGGCAGCTATATTTAAATTAATGCTAGAATTATCAGCATGAATATTTTGTGGATCCATGGGCTCATCACCCGGGAGGTGACCGGCACGCCCCGATACAACCCGAGGCCATGACGGTACATACCTGGGGATTCACATCAAGAACAGCGTCGGGCGTACCGGTGCTGTTCTGCCTAACCCCCGTACGAACACTGACAGGCACGTCAGTTCACCACGACGTCCGTCAAGATGGAGTGGAGCGCCACGACCGGGAGACGAGGCCTGCGCATGGCGCCAGTGACGGACAGGGCCACGACGTGAAGCTGTCCCTGGTGACGTCCACAGGGTCGGCTGGACCCACATGAAGGAGAAGGACCCAACGATCCCGAAGAACTTCTCCATCTCGTTCTCCTCCCTTCCCCCGCTGTAACCCGTGCTTTTCCTTGGCCTATAAAAGGAAAAACAGGACACCCCATTAAGGGGCATCGAACCATGGCACTCGAACCCGATCAACTCATCAAACCCCGAACACGCAAGCCAAGCAACGATCGAGCTCTCGGCATCCATTCGTTCATTCCACCAGAGACTTAGGACATGTCCCTCTCTCGCTCGTTTGTAACCCCTACTACGAACTTTCAGTACTAATAACACGAGCAGCACCAACGAACTGGACGTAGGGACATTCTGCCCGAACCAGTATAAACCTCGTGTCCTCTTAGCACACCATCCGAGCCAGACGCGCAATATTAGAAATTTACTAGTTGGTGTTTACTCGGAACACCGACACAAGCCTCCCTATAAAATCTACGGAGAGGCTGCTTCAAACCCGCGACCTAGTGACTCGAGACAGCTCTTACTACTGCACCAGGCCTGCCCTTCAAAAGGACGTACCTAGTGCGGAGAGCACCCATTATTTATAGTCTATAATTAGTATCATTATATAAATTACTAGATATATTTTTTTAATAAAATTATTTGAATTGAACATAGAAATATTAGTCATATTTTCTAAGAATCTAGTTAAATTTATAAAAATTTAGCCAGCACAAATTTTACCGTGACCGTTTTTTTGGGGACCGAGTATGCTGCACCTGCGGCAGTCCTGTCGGCAGCATTCACGTGGGCGCCCGGGGATTCACAAAACTGAAACCATTTTTTTTTTGGAACAACATATCTCACTAGAATATTATTAAATAAATCTTCTTTTCCGAAGAGAAGAAAATCATGAAATCTTTGATTTGATCGGCTGATGCGGCGAGACCTCCACGCCTCCACGTCCCACGGTTGGCTGACGACGGCTCCCTAAATAAAATACCTTTCCTTTCCTTTCCCTACGTATACGGTCTGTTCGTTTGTTGGTTTCAGTCAGCCCAAACCAGCCAGCTAACAGTGTTTTTCTCAAAAAAAAAAGCACCAACCAGTCCAAACCAGCACCAGCATCAACCAGCGAATAGGCTCATATTCGGGAGGTAGTACTACTATACTATTTTTAGTGATGAGGAGGAGATGCCAACACGGCATTGCTAACGAGCCTCTTGGGCGTGTGTCATTGTGTGTGGCTGAAAAGGTCAACACCACAAAGGTCCAGTCAACATCATGCATGCCCACTGGCTACATGACCGGTGTACATGCACACAGCACTTTGCAAATTGCAACACACACAACAACTTTGTCAGACTCTGTATTTAAAATTTTCACATGAGATGTTTCGGTTTTTACTCAGAGGGCTACATACGGTGACAGTGAAAAAGCTTTGGCCTTTGAGTGCACTCCGTTGTGTTGGAGTTGGACTACAAAGCATTCTAGAAATTTTAGCACACATATTGCGTAGAAAACTAAATGATGTATGTAACCTTTTCTAGTTACCATATTTGTATTGAGTTAGTAATAGAAATTAATGATTGGTATATATGTTGACATTATCTTTTTAAAAGTGAGTTGGATGGCGAGTTCACCTAGAATCTCTTAGGATAAGTTAGAACAAAGTTTAAACACTTTGAATAGCTCGTATTTGAGGACGGAGAAATAATTATACCGAGAAAAGTCAAGCTATACACGCTGCTTTCATAAGTACGGATTGACAGCGCACATGGATTAGTAGGTTTAGTTAAACAGAAACACACGATTTGACGAACAGCTGTCTCTGTACTCAGCATTTAACTTAACTAGACTCGGTTAGCATCAAGCACAGAAGCTTCCTTCTGTCTAACCGTCGTGCCGCTCGTCAAAGCTTGCAGTTTACTCGTCGTCCGTCCGGCTTGATCCTCCCCCTCTGCGCCCATTTTACGGTTATGTACAGACACCATCGGCACGCCATCCAATCCAAGAATATATACCGGCCGGCAGCCGGAGCCCAGCCAGAGGACGACGACGCAGCTCTGACTGCTCTGCCCTTCTTCCTCCCTCCTTCCCCCCCCCCTACAGGAGGAAGAGGAATCAATCATCAATCCCCTCTGCTCAGCCTCAGCCGGACCTCAGCAAGCAAGAAGCAGAGGCGGCCGGCGGCAGCAGTCCCCTCATCGAGCTCTCCGGGGCCGGCCGCGGGAAAAGGCGCGCCTTTGCTTTGCTTCCCCTTGTCCTTCCGTGGTGCTCGGTCGAGGGGGCCGGCCGGGATGGGCAGTGGGGTCCGGGCGCTGATGCGCCGGAAGCAGGTGGACTCGGAGCGGACGCGCGCCGCCGGCAGCGCCCACCAGCTCCGCAAGGAGCTCTCCGTCACCCAGCTCGTCGCCATCGGTCAGGAACACCTCTCCTCTCTCACTTTCCATGTCCTCTTCCTTCTTCTGCTTCTTCTTCTCCTCCTCATATTTATAATAGTATAATATATTTTCCCTGAGCCTCGGTTGGCTCTAATTTCGGTGGATCTTTGCGGGGATTTTGTCGGACCCTTGAAAGGTGAAACCTTCGCTGTGTTTTTTTTTTTCTCCCCTTGGGCGTAGGTGCTTTTCGTGCTCTTGTCAACTGTGGCGGCGAAACAAATGCCTTTACAATGATTTGAATTGAATTTGCCGGATTCAGTTCAGTGAGCTGTTGATACTGAGCTCGAGCTAGAGCTATAAGTATTACTCTAAGATTTCACTTACAAAGTTTCCAATTCGTGTCTCATCGATCGGATTCTTAGTTCTGAACCTCAGTTGCTTCTTTCTCTAGTTTCCAAATGTTGGGAGGAATCTCAGTTGTTTCTTTCTCTAGTTTTTTTTTTTCTTTCCGTGCTTCCTCTGCTTAATTGGTTGGTGTTGGGGTCAGTGTAGGTAAGGTGGGTGATTGGCTCCGTACTGTTCCGGGCATTGTTACTCTGATGATGTTCATGCCCATTGTGCATGTACTAAATCATAGCATTTCAAAATAAAATAGTTTAATAGCATGTAAAGAATCTAACTCATAAAGTAGCTCAAGACATGTCATTTTTCGTGTAGCAATGTTTACATGCTTCTGATGTTCTCGAAAGTATTTTCCACGGATACTTAGAGCCTATGCAGATGGCTTGTTTACTGGTCTGCATAGAGTATTTTGGACCAAAGACCCTGTTTTTTATTTTGCTAATTATAGCATCTCGCCAACCGAAGTATTGATCATGGAATCGCTATGCCATTCCTCAGGTGTTGGGTCGACAATTGGAGCCGGGGTGTACGTCCTAGTTGGGACAGTTGCCCGGGAGCATTCTGGGCCGGCATTGACGCTTTCATTTCTGATAGCTGGAATAGCAGCTGCGCTTTCAGCCTTCTGCTATGCAGAGCTTGCTAGCCGTTGCCCTTCTGCAGGAAGTGCCTACCATTATTCGTACATCTGCGTTGGCGAAGGGTAATTTACTGATACATATGATGGAGTGAACATTGTTCATATATGGCATTCTTGTGCTGCTGAGTTTATGGTCTCACATTGTCCATTGCTTCATTATGCAGAGTTGCATGGTTGATTGGTTGGGCTTTGATACTTGAATATACGATTGGTGGATCAGCTGTTGCCCGTGGCATATCTCCCAATCTAGTGAGTGGAATTCCCCTGCATCTGATGTGTCCATGCAGATATTGATCAGTAGTTAATCTCCAATCTCCTTATACAAACTCTAAAAAAAAACTTTATGTTTTCAGGCCATATTTTTTGGAGGACAGGATAGTCTGCCGTGGATTTTAGCACGGCATGAGATCCCATGGCTTGATGTTGTTGTTGATCCTTGTGCTGCTTTCCTGGTTTTCGTTGTCACAGGTCTGCTATGTGTCGGGATAAAAGAGGTTGCTACCTTCTCCAATTCAGTAATAGCTACCTTACGTATTTTCTGGGAATGTGACACCTGATCTTTCCTCTCTGTTTTTTATTTTTTTATTTTTTCAGAGTTCATTTGTGCAAGGAGTTGTGACAGTCCTAAATTGCTTTGTGATGTTATTTGTTATCATAGCCGGTAGTTACGTCGGCTTCCAAACAGGATGGGTTGGCTACAAGGTTGCTGGAGGGTAATGCTAAAGACCCTGATGCTTTGTTTCTTTTCTCAAGCCAGTAGTTAGCGCACTTACACTTCCTTGATTTCAGATTTTTCCCTTATGGAGCGAATGGAATGCTTGCCGGGTCAGCAACTGTCTTCTTTGCCTACATAGGCTTTGATTCAGTTGCCAGCACTGCTGAGGAGGTTAGGAAATGTCTTATTTCCCTAATTGATTTGGCCCTTCTTATTTGCTGGATTGTTAGCGTTGAATAGAAAATATAATTCCCTCATCTGAGAAAATGTAATATCTAATTATCTTATGTTAACTTCTGACAGGTGAAGAATCCACAACGAGATCTGCCATTGGGAATCGGAACAGCATTGTCAATTTGCTGTACCTTGTACATGTTGGTTTCAGTAGTTATTGTTGGTCTGGTACCATACTTTGCTATGGACCCAGACACCCCTATTTCATCTGCCTTTGCCAAACATGGGATGCACTGGGCAATGTAAGGACTGCTTCTCATTTTATCATGGATGATCTGGTGTGCATCTGACTGAGATTGTTCATGTGCTTATCTTTTTTTAGGTATCTTGTAACAACTGGTGCTGTTCTTGCTCTCTGTTCAACCTTGATGGGATCTATATTGCCACAGGTATAAGCATATCTTAATCAATGTATCATAAATTTTCTTTTGTGGTTCGAGTCGATGGAATACGAGCCATCGGCCAAGTGGGCATGGCTTTAAATGAGTAACATCTGAAGCATACTGGCATATAATCTGGATATATATAGCCAGTTTTCTGCTTTATCTGTTCTCTCAACAAGCATATGCATCTTACAACTTCAATTTATGCTGCCATGAATATTCACACTTCCACTTTGATACTTCCTTCAGCCAAGAATATTGATGGCCATGGCACGAGATGGCCTTTTACCATCATTCTTCTCTGATGTCCACAAGACGTCACAAGTTCCAGTCAAAAGCACAATAGTGACTGGCATCTGCGCTGCTGCTCTTGCTTTCTTCATGGATGTCTCACAACTGGCTGGAATGGTAAGGATTTACCAAACATGTTATTTGAGAATATATATGGACTTCATCTTGAGTTCAGTTATATTAATGAACCTTATCCCCAGAGATCATCGCAGCGTATGCATGTAGAATATGAGCATTATTGAAAAATGTTTGGAACTAAAAAGGTTTTGTTTTTGGTTGCAGGTTAGTGTAGGCACACTACTCGCTTTCACTGTAGTTGCTGTGTCCATCTTGATTCTTAGGTATGTTCCTCCAGATGAGGTACCCCTCCCATCTTCCCTGCAAGCATCATTGCGCTTGAGCCAAGAAAATGACGAGGAAAAGCTGAGGGGTACCCTTGGAGACGATGATCATGAACAAGGGTCAGCTGAAATAAGTGATGTTGTAGTAGAATCAATTAATGACCCCCTCATTGAGAAGCAGCTGTACGCAAGTATGTCTGGGCAATCACATTACTGATTTCATATGCTTAAAATTTCTAAGTATGTGCATTTCAGTTAAGGTAGCTAATAAACTTGTCTGCTGACTTTTTAGGCAATTTGAATGAGACAAAACGGCGTAGGACTGCTGCATGCAGCATTGCATCTGTCTGCATAGGGGTTCTGATCCTCACAACTTCAGCTTCAGCGACATTCTTGCCCTTGTAAGTGCCAACTGTTCAGTCTATTATGCAAGAATGCATGCTTCCTTCCCCAGTGAACTTTCCTGCATATAAGCAAAGCACTCTAACGATCTAATCTGTGCCATGTCAGCTTGGTGAGATGCTTCGTTTGTGCTTTTGGTGGCCTGCTCCTCCTAGCTGGTCTGGGCATGCTCTGCTGGATTGACCAAGATGATGGGAGGCACTCCTTTGGCCATTCCGGAGGTACTCTTATCACAGCACGCTTCAGCAACTCATTGTACTAGGATCATATTGGTACTACTTTGCATTAAACATCTTTGCTTCTGTGTCTGCTGTAGGATTCATCTGTCCATTCGTTCCCTTGCTGCCAGTAATGTGTATCCTCATAAATACATACTTGTTAATAAATCTTGGGTGAGTACTTGATCCTTTCAGCTTTTTTACTACATTATTCAAAACTGATATATTCTTTAACATGCATGAACTTGTTGGTTATGTTCTTCAGTGGCGGCACATGGATGCGAGTGGGGGTGTGGCTGGTGATGGGGGTGTTCGTCTACATTTTCTATGGCCGCACCCACAGCTCATTGACAGATGTCGTGTATGTCCCTGTGGCTGAGGCGAATGAGATATATGGGCAATCCTCTTCATCAGGGTTTGTGGCGTAAAGAGATGGAAGGAGATGTTTGTTGAAGCCTATCTCGAGCTAGTCAGGGTACTTTTCACAGAACCTCAAGGATCCTGCTTGAGCTATTATACGCATTGCAGGGATGGGTTCGAAGAATTCAATTTGTACGTTAATTTTTAAAATGTGTAAATTGTAATGCGCGGCTAAACTTGTGTGCCTCTGTTGGAAGAATGTAAATATTACATAGTATAGAACTATATATATAAATGGTGCCTGCATACAGGTGTTTAAAAAGGGGGGTTCAGTCTATGATTTTCTACGTTTTAGTACAAATTTGTTGTAAATTCCCAGGATTGAAATTATAGTCCCCAATTCAAGCAGGCCTGTGTGAGGCGTATTATGTGGTCAAAGCCTCAAACACATTTTATTTCATGGTGGTAGGAACATTACATGAGAAAAACTGCTCATGGAAAAATAATATTTTTCAACTGAGGTTGAGTAGTACATCATGATACACTATTTTAACAAGATGAGCTACATCACAACACACAATAAAGAAAAACTTCAGCAGAATACAGTATAGTAGTATCAGGCTATCAACATTTCAGATTCAATGCACCATATTTCCACCAGCACCAGGTTTTTGGACAACTTGCTTGGGAGTCATACCGATCTGTTTCCGCAGAAATCCAAATCGCCTACAAGTTGTTCTTGCACAGGGTGTAAAAGGTAGATCCATCAACTGTCTCCATACTTAACTGATTGAGCCGCAACAGCATCAGCAGGCAGGCTCTTCCTTTGCGCCCTAAAAGGGACAAAAGTAACAAAGAAAAACAGAAAAAAGGTTAGCTACCACAGCAGAATTGTTCAAGAGCAATGTGTCAATGAAACAGCAATCTAACAAAAAGATTTTGTTCAACATGCTATAACATTTGCTATTTTCAAATCCACGTGCTAAGAGCGGTAAGTGCACGCACCCAATCCTATTTCTCCAACATGGTCCTGGTTCAATGCAACACTTCCCTGAGCTTTGTCACCACCGAAGTATGAATTTAGTTTGGATATTCCCTCCTGCAACTCCTGATGCAATAAAAAAGTGCAAAAAAAAAAACAATACAATTAATTGCTTTGAGGTAGATGACTGGTCCATTTCTGATCGAGAATGCATTGACAAAAACGAAAAGCAAAAATTGAGGAAATAGGAAGTGAAGATGTTGCAGAATATGTCTTCAGTTGAATTTCTTAAAGAGTAAGGTCATCTACTAGGTTTCAAGAACTATGTGTAATTTTGTAACCACTACCGATCATGCAGAAAGTACTATGGGCAGAATTACAAATAACAATGTAGTTAAAGAAATTCAGACCTCCCATGATGCTAGACTCTTCATGTAAGAAGGAAGTTGCTCATACTCCTCCTTAGATGCCCTTATCACTTCTTTGAAAGAATTACCTTCATGGAGTCAACAGCGGGGAAAAAAATCAGAACTAGCAAAGGCTTGACATGTCTTTAAAATATCTAAGACATTCATTCTGATCACCTTGACCATTTCTTTCATTTTGTGGAGTCATAATTTCAGCTTCATTCATGATCTTTTCTCCATAATCAGTACTAAACAGTAGAGCATTAAACAAATAAATTAGGTCATATTTAAGATAAGATTAAAATAAGTAAAAAAGTAACATTAGAAATAAACACAATAACAGTGAGAAAACCTGATGGTAATTCCTTCTGTTACCTTTCAGGATTCTTGTAAAGCTTCTTTGGGCTCACACCATAATTTGCGCCTGCAAAATCCCAGTAAATATTCAAGACGAAAGTTAGTAGCCGGTGAGAAATGCTAATACAACAAGCACAATGCGATTAACCGGCTACGATAGGCAAAATATTTTCCTCGCATACCTTCAGAAGAAAGAGTGGCTAGACAAGCATCTGAAAACCCAAGATCCTTCAGTGACTCTTCAAATCTAATTAGCAGTCAAGAAAAGCACAATATGCTGCACTCAAGCAAATGACAATCTATCGTTCCGAACAAAACCAAACCAAACCAAAGAGGATACATTGCGTCGTTGTCGTCATCAAACCGCCGCTTACCCGACCTGAGCACTGAACGCGACACGCTGAGGCATCCATCTCCAAGGTCCTCAACCTTACCGACATTTCCATCTTCCACTTCCACATCCACATCAAACTCAGGCTCCTCTGCGTCTGCACACCAAACAAACAGCGGTCTCACCTCATCCCAGCGGATCGAAACAAACGCTGCAGCCAGAGATTGGGAAACCGATTGGGTTACCGGCGGGCTCGTAGCCGAAGGGAGCGAGGTGGGACTGGAGGGCGCTGGCGTGGCGCGCGTAGACGTTGAGCGACTCGCCGCAGTGGCCGAGGAGCTCCTCGAAGGAGACGGTGCCGAGGGCGATGGACTCGATGTGCTGTAGGTCGGCGGCCGCCGCCTCCGCCCTGTACTCCAGCTTCTGCAGGAACGAGATCCTCGCCATATCTGCGAGGATCCCGACGCCGTGAGCAGGAGCCTTACGGGGAGGGAAGGAGGGAGAGGCGTGCGCGTGAGGTGGTTACCGAGGTGGATGGGGCGTTGGGAGACGGCGTCGGCGAGCTCGCGGGATGAGGACTCAGCGTGGTTTAGCAACGACGAGAGGGACTCGCAGAGGGCCATGATGGACTGATCCATCCCCCCTCCCACTGCGTCTTCGGCGGCGGCGGCGGCGGTGAGGGGTGGGGCTCGCCGGAGACGGCGAGGGGGGGTGGGGGAGGGATTTGGGGATTTCTTTTCGAAACTTTCGGGAGGGAGGCGCGGGCGAAACTGCTGTTTTTCTGGCGTGTGGGCCCGATTGAGTGAAGGACCTATACTAGTGAATGTAGGGCCTGAGGCAGGCCTAGATAGGCTTCTGCTGATCACTTTGTATGGGCCTAGAGTTTTAGCCCAACGGACCTTTTGTCGAAGTTACAGATTAGTCAAATGCAGTAGAAATTTATTCTTTCCTAAAAAAAAGTAGAAATTTATTCAGTTGCTCAAAAAAAAGTAGAAATTTATTCGGGGAAGGAATAGCCCATTACTCTACTCTCTGCACTTGGTAGTCCAGAATCAGGGAAACATCCTATTTGATCATTTTTGGTGAATCAAGATGTTGGGACCAATATTAGGGTACCCGAAGAGGAGGAGCTAACGGTCGTCAGCACTGATTCACCCGAGCAATCAAGTGCGCGACTACAGCTCCAACCGGCCCCTAGGGACGCAGGTTCCGCCTCGCCCGACCGCTGAGGGGCGGGTCCCGCCTCGGGCGACCCCTGGGGCGCGGGCTCTGCCTCGCCCAACCGCCGGAGTGCGGGCTTCGCCTCTCCCGACCGCTGGGGTACAGGCCCCGCCTCGCCCGACCACTTGGGGGCGGGCTCCGCCTCGCCCGACCCCTCAGGTGCGGCTCCCGTCTCGCCCGACTAAAGATACCGCCGCCAACCACTACGGGTCAGAAGGTACAACCCAAGGCCAAACTTCTGGCACCGAGCAGGGAGCAGGCACGTATCGACGTGACCCATGGCCATGACATGTCACTCCTGGGATTCACATCGCCAATAGTGACGGATGTGTGGTCACTATGCTACATACTCCCCGTACAGCCGCTGACCGACACATCGGTTTGTCGCATCGTCCGTCGGGACGGGATGGGATGCCACGACCAGCGGATAACACCGGGGCGTGGCACTAGCGGTGAATAGGAGCCCAGCGTGGAGCCGTCCCTACCACCATCTACAGCGTCGGCGGGACCCACATAAAGGAGAAGAAGGACCCAGCGGGCCTAGGGGCTTTCTTCTCCTTGACTTTTGTCGGGGACCAATACTAGGGTACCCGAAGAGGAGGAGCTAATGGTTATCAACATTGATTCGCCCGAGCAGTCAAGTGCGCGACTAAAGCCCCAACCGACCCCTAGGTGCGCAGGTTCCGCCTCGCCCAACTGCTAGGGCACGGGCTCCAACTTGCCCGACCACCGGGGCGGGCTTCGCCTTGCCCGACCTCTGGGTCGGGGGCTCCGCCTCGCCCGGTGTCTGGGTCAGGGGCTACGCCTCGCCCGGCCTCTGGGTCAGGGGATCTTCCTTGCCCGACCCCTCAGGTGCGGCTCCCGACGGAAGCCCGTACCGCCGCCAACCACTACGGTCCAGAAAGTACAGCCCAAGGTCAAACTTCTAGCACTGTGTAGGGAACGGGCACATCTCAACATGACCTATGCCCGTGACTTGTCACTCCAAGGAACTCACATCACCAACAGTGATGGACGTGTGGTCACTATGCTGCCTACTCCTTGTACGGATGCTGACCAGCATGCTGGTCCGCCACGTCGCCCGCCGGGATGGAATGGGACACCACGACACGCTGACAACGTCGGGGCATGGCATTAGTGGCGAACAGGCGCCTGGCGTGGAGCCATCCCTGTCACCATTTGCAGTGGCGGCAGGACCCGCATGAAGGAGAAAAAAGGCCCGGCGGTCCTGGAAGCATTCCTCTCCTTATCTCCTCTTCCTCTTTTTTCTCTGTAACCTGCTATTCCCCTTCTTCTATAAAAGGGGAAGCAGGACGCCCCATGGGGAAGATGGCTAGACACAACTTTACACGGCTGTAAACATCAAAACACACACCCTAACACACCTTAGGAGCACACGCACATCAGAGACTTGGGACATATCCCTCTCTCGTCCGTTTGTAACCCCTACTACAAACTTTCAGTGTTAGTAACACGAGCAGCAGCGACGAACTGGACGTAGGGACTTTCCTCCCGAACAATAAAAACCTCGTGTCCTCTAAGCACACCATCCGAGCTAGACGCGCAATACTAGAAATTTACTAGTTGGTAACTCGAAACACCGACAGTTGGCGCGCCAGGTAGGGGCCTTTTGCGCGTCTCGATGTCATTACCAGGCTTCGGATGGCCAACCATAGCATCAGCTGGGTGTCGGGTGCGCATGTGCGCTTTAGAAACCTAGACTTCATCATCACGATGGAGGGAGAGCTAGCACAGGCTCCCATCACCACCTAGCTTCTTCACTCCACCAGCTTCGATGCGATCAACGAGGCATTCGAGTAGCTATGGCTGCACGCACCGAAGGCTCATGCCCCTAGGAGCGACCAGCTCCTTGACTTTGACTCCGAGAGGCTTAAGCGCCAGCTCGCCGCCTTCCTAGGACCCCGACGTCCTAGGAGGACATGTGTTGCCTCGCCTTTTCCTTCGCCAACGTCATGGCGCAGCTCGTCGGAGGGGAGCCACTCGCCTCGGAACGTCTCACTAGGGCGGCGTGACGGCGTTTTCGTTCGGCCTGCACAATGTCATGGAGACCGCAGGTCACCTCATCACGCAGCACATGCGTTCATCACTCACGAACGGCGAGTTCGTGGGTATGGCGGACTACGTTGTGGGATCGTTCCATGACCTCCTCACGGCAGACTCAGAGTCCCTCTCTAACTCTAATTCTAGCATGGGAAGCCATCACCCCTCGTAGGAATGCTTCATGGCAGAGACCCCCGAAGGGCACGTCAAGAGCGTCCATGAAGGAGGGGCTGACCTACCGCGCGACCACGATGACAATGACGATGAAGGCGTGGGTGCTTTTCTGCACATGTGGAAGGAGCACCTACGAGCGTGACACCAGGAGCTTGAGGAGGCATGTCTCAACCTCGAGCAAGAGCGTGTAGAGCTTGAGCAAGAGATTGCACGCCGAGGAGATGGCGGACGCGCACGCGCCAGGGCCCGCGAGTTGAACCAGAGGATCATCGAGGACGACAGGGGCCTCCCATGTTTCACCCGGGCAAGCCAGAACATAGCAGCCACGGCAGCCTTGCTCCAAGGGCTCCTTGAGCCCGCGACGCCCGAGGACCGTCGGGCTCACCGAGAGATCCGCACGTTACTCGAGCATGCCGCGGTGCAGCAAGCAGAGAGCTCGTTATCCTGATGACGCGAGCTTGACGTTGGCCGCCACGTGCCCTTGGGGCAGCACAACAAGGACGTCTCCGTCCACCAGGCACCGCATGACGACGGACAGCGAGTTGCGGTCCCGGTGCGCCAGTGCCTCGGTCGCAATCGTGATGCCTGCGACACTCTGAACGCCCGCAGACATGCTCACAGTGGCGAGACGAAGGGGGCCAGCCGTGGCTACCACCCTCGCCGCAGTGGACGCTACGACAGCAGCGAGGACCAAAGCCCGAGCCCTAACCTACCGGGGCCTCAGGCCTTTGGCCGGCACATCCTCAATGTGCCCTTCCCGCCATGATATCGGCCACCGACCAACATCCTAAAGTACTCTGGGGAAACAAACCCTGGGCTGTGGCTCGAGGACTATCGGCTTGCTTGCCAGGCCGGTGGCGCGGATAATGACAACTTCATCATCGGCAATCTCCCCCTATTCCCCACTGACTCGGCGCGAACATGGCTGGAGCACCTTCCGCCCAATCACATCTACGGTTGGGTGGACCTGAAGGAGATCTTCGTGGGCAACTTCCAGGGCACCTACACGCGCCCTGGAAACCCATGGGACCTCAAAAAATGCCGGCATAAGTCTAGAGAAACTCTTCACGAGTACATCCGGTGCTTCTCCCGGCAGTGCAACAAGCTGCCTGACATCGCTGACGTCGATGTCATCAGAGCCTTCTTGTCTGGGACCACCTGCGAGTCCCTGGTCCACAAGTTGGGCAGCAAGGGTCTGAGTATCACCAAGGAGCTCCTCCACATCGCCACTAGCCATGCCTCTGGCGAGGAGGTGGTCGGAGCTATCTTCGACTGCTCCAAGGGCAAGGAAAAGCAGGACGACAATGCCAGCGAGGGCGCCTCCAACCGTCCCCACAAGAAGAAGAACAAGCAGCGGCGCGAGAGCTCACTCGTGGCCGCTGCCAACCATAAAGGGGGTCAAAAGCCTGCCGAGGGCGCCCCCGACCACTTTGAAAAGCTGCTCGAAGGACCGTGCCCGAACCACGCCTTCCCCCTCAAGCATCTGTACAAGGACTACGCTCACATAAATCGGTTCTTGTCCGATGGCGCCAACAAAGGGGAGCCGAGAAGAGACCCCAAGCCAACAGCGAATAATGCCAATAGGAAGGATGATGGCTTCTCGACCCCCGATGGCTGCCTCATGATCTTCAGGGGGTCGGTGGCTTACGACTCCAAGCGTCGACAGAAGTTGGCGTGCCGTGAGGTCTACACGACCAAGCCCGCCGCGCCCGCATTCCTCCGGTAATCAGAGTCCTCCATCACCTTTGATCGGACAGACCACCCCGATAGCATCCCTCAACCGGGGAGGTATCCGCTAGTCGTCGATCCAATTATTGGCACGAAGCGGCTTACCAGCATGCGTTCGACTGATCAGGGTGCCTTTCCACGGCATCGTGCCTCGGAAGCAGGCCATGCCGCTCGGACAGATCGATCTGCGTATCACCTTTGGGAGTCCGACAATTATAGGATGGAGACCCTCACTTTTGAGGTGGTGGGATTCCATGGAACTT